GCGCCTAAAAAGTTATACGTGTGCCTCTCTGTGCTCACTCCGTTTCTTTCTCGCTTTTCTGCATCAAATTCCACATATGCCCCCTTTTTTTTATGACGTAACCAATCAATATTGCAATGGCGGTTGACCTCCTTGTTTCTGTAAACCCTCCCCTTATCTCTCTCTCTCTCTTTCATTCTCTTGATAAAATAAACGAACCAATTAGACGCTTGTGTTTAGAAAGCGTAATGTTGGTCTGTTTTTCAGGTATAGCGGCACTGGTTTACACTTTAAGTGAGATCTTTTCTAGTGCAGTACACGGCGCAGCACGCCGGTATGCATTACTCGTCCAGATCGAAACGGACAGGGGTGTTTATTGAAAGTTTTGCTGAGGGAGCATTGGCTCCCTGTGATTCAAGCTGCGGTGCGCTAAAACACTTGGCCACTGATCCCCCTGCTTGTCTTCACCATTACGGATATGGGAGTCATTCGAACTCTCGTCTCAGTCTGTATTATAAAACCATTAAAGTGGTAAAATGCATACACGGCACAAAGCTCCGCAGTCTAGGGCTTTGCCAATGACGGCCTGAATGAAGTAGAGACAGACTTGAAAGTTCAGCCCCCAGAAAAGCCAGTGCTTCTTAAGGGCCATCCCGCCGTTTAGATAACCGTGAGGGCATCTACGGGTCTTTAAAGTCACCAAGTTATTATAGCTGCTTTCTTAATACGAGTTTCTCGCTTGCTTGATGAGCAACAAAACTTTTGCCAAGACACCAAATCGCATAGAATTCTGTTATGGAAGAATAACGATATGGACCGCGTGCTGTGTGCAAACAGACGGAACCACTGAAGTGTGTTCGCATTCAGCACACGCAGCAGCTGCATTGCATGCTCGCCTTCTCGAGACGCGCAAACGCTTGTTTGTAAACAATGCGCTCATATGTCGGCACCGAAGGGGAAACTTGGCTTCCTGCTTGCTTTTAGAGATGCATAATTTGACCGCTGCTGTGCCGGCAGTTCAACTACCACTGTACTCCGGGTGCAGAGTACAACAGAAAAATCTGGTGGTGGGACAACGGCAGGTTACTCACTCCCAAAATATGCAGGGTACCTTTTTAAAAAACTTTTTAAGGCTTTACATATTTGTTGTAAAGAAGCCTGGAAAGCTACACTAATGCGGTTTGTGCAGGTAAGCTATACGACCAAGGGGAGATTATGTAGCGGGATAGTTGTCACGAAAGGTCGGGATGGTGCGTCCGTCTCTTAGCATCCGCCTTTTCGCACCGCGAGCATTGCGCCCATTGCACCAGTGGTACGTAACTTTAGTACACCACCGATTTTTTTCCACGCTCCTAAAAACTTTTTAAAGTGTCCTTACATAGTGGTTCTCAATGACGGCCAGCTATAGTTTCTAATTGAAACCATATTTTTATTTTCATTAATTTAAAAAGTTAACTTATCGTTAAGATAATTCCCCTTGCCGTATAACTCACCTGCTCAAGCCGCGTTAGCAGAGCTTTTACGGCTCTTGTAAAACAAATAATAATAAATAAAAAAAGAAAACACTGTATAATATAACGTGGAAAGAGTGGCACCAAGAGAGGGTGAAGAGCTACGAAATACTTTAATTCATTTCAACTTATGTCCGTAAGCAGTCGACGCCACGAGATAAAGGGACCAATAAAGCAGAGTTAAAAGCGCAAGTCTTTAGGCATTTTCTGTTTAAGATTTGTTCAGCGATGATTAAATTCATACAGAAACATGACGAAAATCATGATGCAGCGTTTTAGACGCTGTCTGATTGGTTCCAACAACTCGTAGCGTCGGCTGCGTCTGGTGAAACCAAGTATAGGAGAAGAAATTCTATTCAGTTCATTTGCATTAGACAGCGCGTCTACAGTGCCAAATCCTCACCTAGCGGTGTGAACATCACGCGTCCGTGAGACTTGGTGCTCTTCACGTTGTCGCGCTTTCTTGCTGCACCGAGAGAGGGGGCTGCCGGCAGCGCACTGAGACACCGGATTCGCCAAGACAGCAGAGACAGCTGTCTCCGCTCCCTTGAATGCTGTCCACGACGATAGATGGCAGCATGCCACTCCTTCCGAATGAAAGGAGAAAACCGCGAGGGTGCGCTCGTTCAGCCGTTCCAACTATGGCAAAAGCCGTCGGTTTTAAAGCCACAGGAGTTTCGCGGGCGTAGAAAAATGTTTAAACAGCCGTAGGGTCTTTAATACATGACGTTTCGGGAAGAGACTTCCCTTCTTCAAGTGTGCAGAAAATACAGTTCCAAAGCGTTTTTAGAGAGACCAACGGAGAGAAGGAAGATTGGAAAAAGCGAAAGAAAAACATAATATATAGTACAAGTAAAAACGATTGAGCATGAAAGAACTACATTCTAACAAAGCGCACATATAAAAAAAAAAAAGTAGTACCAAGGGCAACATGGTCGCGGCATTCGTTAGCGAAACCAAGAAAATATATCACAGGCAACGACCTCAGTCACGTTAGAGTTAAGCTGAAGACCCAGAAAAATAAAACAAAATAAAAACATACAGGGGTGTATTTTTAATGGTGAAGCATTTCGGCCTGCTTTTCTTCGACTAGATAAAAGACCAGGAAGATGGAAATGAAAACTGAGAAAGGGAGTAACCAGAATGGCTGAAAAATATAATTCTTAAAAAAAAAGAAAAAAATTGAAAGACGTTTACAAATTCTTGTAATGCGAAATTAGAGCGCAGCTCTTGAGGTATTTTGATTTTGCGATATACCGCACTAAAGAATTTGAGGAAGAAATATCTATATGTTCAAATATAGACCTAGTACTCCTGCGTACATTTTTCCCCGCAAAATTTAGCGGGGAAACTGAATTGGGGTTGAGGTCATGTGACGTCAGTTTTATTGCTAAATTTAGTGGGCAAACTGAATGCGCGGTGTTGCATTATAGGACGTCACAAACCTACACACCAATTCAGTTTCTTCGCTAAATTTAGCGAGGAATTGAATTGGTGCCTAGGTCTGTGACGTCCTGTAATGTAACGCCCGTGGTTACGCCGACGGCGAGGCTGCGAAACACGGGGACGAGTTCTTAAGAGCTGCGCTCTAAAAGAGTACAATCACCACCAAATGTAATTTTAATTTTAGAGCGCAGCTCTTAGGGGCCCGTTTCCGGCTTGAGCGGCGTCGGCGTAACCGCGCGGTGCATTATGGGTAAATTTCCCCGCTAAATCTAGCGGAAAAATTTCCCCGCTAGATTTAGCGGAAAAATTTCTCCGCTAAATCTAGCGTAATAATCTTTCCCGGTAGATTTAGCGAAAAAAATTCCCGGCTAAATCTAGCGGAAAAATTTCCCCGCTAAATCTAGCGGAAAAATTTCTCCGCTAAATCTAGCGGAACAATTTCTCCGCTAAATTTAGCGGAAAGATTTCTGCGCTAAATCTAGCGGGAAAAATGCCTCGCGAAATCTAGCGGAAAAATTAACCCGCTAAGTCTAGCGGAAAAGTTTCCCCGCTAAATCTAGCGGAAAAAATTCCGCGCTAAATCTAGCGGAAAAGTTTCCCCACTGCGGAAAAAATTCCCCGCTAAGTCTAGCGGAAAAATTTTCCCGTTAAACCTAGCGGAAAAATTTCCCCGCTAAATCCAGCGGAAAAAATTCCCCGCTAAATCTAGCGGAAAACTTTTTCTGGGGGGTCACGTGACCCCCCAAGGTCACATGACCCCCCCCCCTCGCCCCGAGAACAGGTAACCCTCGTACCCTTCCCTCCTCCTCCTCAAGAGCTGTGCTCCAATTCGGTGTTACAGGGAGTTGTAAACGGCTTTCACTTTTTTTAGTGATATTACCAATAACCAACTGCTCCCACACACAGACCTTCGTGCCTTGGAAAGAAACTAAAGTGCGAAGCTGTCAAAGTGACCTGACTACCAGGCTCGTATACCCTATTAGTCGAAACATGACACTGTGAAAGGATGTAAGAAAAGCGTTTAGCGCGAGTTTGGAATGCGCCGTATATATAAAAGTGTTGCGCACTTGGCGAATGCTTCCCTCATTTGCTGAAGCGACGAGCTCGTGCAGCTACACCGCTTTTATCGCATGTTAAGCTGTTACATTTTTAACACTATGAAATGGAATCCGCACTCAATTTTTTTTCGATAACCGGCGCTCTTTTATGCCGCGAGCCTTACCAAGGTTCCACAAAAAATCATGTTTTCTGGAAATGGTGTTATGTCTCTGTCTTCGGACTCACCTCGCTACTCTAATGTGAGAAGAAACACGATTAGGAAAAAATGACGGGGAAATGGTAATAGCAGAAAGAAAGTAACCAGAACCCAGGCCGCCATGCCATGCATGGTCAAGACGAGGCTATGACGTCAGAAATATTATGACTCTATGTAGATAACGTAAGGCTACTTTAATTAGTACCTGCGTATGTTCAGAGTTAAGTGTGTTCACACCGAGAAAGCTATTGTTCATTTCTTTAGATTTTGTTCTAACTCGAAAAGAAGCGTCCGAAAAGTGTGATATTATCCTACACTTATACTGGTAAAAGGCACATTCCCGCTTTTTTTTCAGCATATCTTTTAAAAATGTTTTAAAATGCAATTGAAAAGCACCTTGATTTGGCCTCCCGTGTTGCAGCGGTTGAAATGGTCGTATATGGCTAGCAATACTTGGCGTAAAAATTACAACAGACCTATTTAAAAGCAAAATGAAAATATCACATTTATAGTGCGTATGGGTATAGAGATGAAGTAATCGAACTACTGTACTCAATCCTAACACTGACCTACCTATAAGTCGTGACCAACACGCTGGAATCTAAACCTCCGTTGGCGTTCCTCCAAGCGTGAGGATACACCATGCAATCAGCCAGCACCAACTTCCCCGAGGCACATCGAAGCGAGATGCATAAAACTATAGCCGGGAAGTGACGTCACTGGCGATAGCTCGTCATCTTCTCTCTCTCTCTCTCTCACTCTCCGCATCCTCCTCACCCGAAACGGTTTCAAGTTCAGGGCTCTCCCCCTTGTACTCCGCGGGCAGCATCAGTCAGAGCGGCTGCGGTGTGCGGATCTGTTTCACGCGACCACTCGCTCCGGAGGCACGCTCGCAGCGTCGGCGCAGACCCCAGGCTACGTCAGCGAGAGGCAGAGGAATCCACTTGTTTATCCGCCGAGGTCTTGGCCTTTGTTCTTCGAGCTTAGAGGGTAACGTCACGTTTTTTTCTCCTCCCCTTACATCTGCCGTCTCTGCGTCAGCTGTTTGTGCCAGAGCCTGGAAGAGTCCGGAGAGACATCAGGGGACAGCGGAGCAGACAGACCGGCCAACGTCGAGAAGAATTACAGGGTGTCACTTGGTTGGAATCAAAGGCTGAACAAGTGGAAGATTACTGGATGGCGTCAGCGAAGCTTTGGTAAGGCTTCTAAAGGACCAGAGAAGGAGGGACGACGGTCGACAAGCCGCTGACAAACTGCTGAGAGGCCGCATGAAGATGGAAGGATGACTCTCTAAGAAGAGCTTCGATCAGGATTTAGATAGTTGTCACAAACCTAGTCGGAAAATTCTGTCTTAAAGTTGTAAGAACTCGGGCACTGTTAGAAGAGTTTTGGAACGTTGGCAACGGAACCCTAGTGAACATCTGGAAAGGTGTCCACAACAGCCAAGGAAACGCAGAAGCGCCTCCGAGGACCAGAGACAAGGGTGGGTTCATCTTCCCTTCGCTCAATCTAAAATGTTCTTGTGTTTTTAGATAAGGCAAGGCGTTATGGTACTTTGGTGCCTGCTCCTGGAAACAGGCATTGGCTCTGATGGCATTTGACGAGCCACCTCATTATAAAAGCCCATAATGGAATTTGAGCGAGTGTAAAAAGCGATGGAACTATATAGTCTCCCCCTTGTCGCTCTATAAAACCCAATTTAAAAGCAAAAAAAAAAAAAAAAAAAAAAAAAAGATTACGTCTTTTAGCAGCCAAAAGCACGGATATTGGTATAATACGGCCTTGTGGTAGACATTATAACGCAAAGTGCACTGATAACACTATTTTTACATAGAGAAAATACAAAAATCTTTGCTTGGCGCACCGCTATGCATTAAATAAATATATATCACGTGAAAAACCGTGACATTTCGCACATCTCTAGAATTTTCTGAACAGTGCTCTTCTGACTGTACTTTCTTAAAAGCTGACTTGCGACAGGTTCGTCCAATCACGTGCCAAAGTGACGAGCTGACACTTTCTTCGCACATTGAACTCGTTTTTCTTATTTATTTTTGTTTTGTTTAGCAACCTCATGCTGGGTCATTTTGCTTCGTGAGCAATGAAAAATCGACCATAGTCTGGCAACATATAATTTCTGCTGTAAAATTATTAATTCATTTTTTTTTTATTGGGGCGGGTTTTTAATTGGCGGTGGTTCGCCTGTTCTTGTCCTCTGACATGAGCAAAGGATAGAAAGGGGACGGGTAAGGATGGGTGCATATACAGCTGGGTATGGAAGAAGGCTGCTTCGTCGCGAGCTTTCTTCCTCCGATAGCACTTCGGCGTCATATGAGCTCGTGCAGTCACAAGCATGACGGAAGGCAACGAACGCGTGCAGGGGTCTGAGCTTGCCCTTCAGATCGGATGCTGCAGCAATATAAAATGGGCTTCAAGTCGCGGTCATTTTATAAGCAACTTGGTACTTTGACGTCCTGCCAAGGCCGCATATTTCGGCCCCCAGGCTGCAACTTTTTCACTGTGTCGGTGTCTTCCTCAATACGGAAGGTCTGGCCAACGCGTTTTCAGCTTTCTTTTCGATCTCACCACTACTACATCTCAATATTGAGGTCGCTGATTGTTTGCTTTGCGACCCTGCTGAGTGTGAGCCGAGGAACGTGATACGACGTGCTAACTTCAAAGGGACACTGACCCCCAAAAATGTTTGTTCTATTTTTTGCCAGGCGATTCATTACGGTGTCTGAAGACTACTAAATAATATTTTGCTACAGCGTTACGTATTTTTTAATAAAGTAAAAAAACGCAACTGCTCTAAACCGAAACTGAACTGGGGAGGAAGAAGAAATATGGAAGAGGATGGAGTTGGCAGAAGTCACGTGGTTCTGGAACTATTCCTTTCTTCAATCAACGTATTTGCGGCTTTTTAGTAGCCATAAAAAAGGGGTATCATATACTCCTCTTTTTTTATGTCGAGTGTGTGTTTTCGATGACCCGCGACTATAATTTGTTGGTTGTGTCTGAATTATATAAAACGGCACATGACCACGGAGAAGAGAGTGAGCACGACTAAAACCGGCCAGTTCTCGATCGGCGGTTTTCGGCGGAAAGAAAACGAATTTCGAGGCGCAAATTGTGTTCCTGGTATGTACAAACAAAAAGCGCGGCGAGCATAAATTCCTTGCCAGTGTCCCTTTAATGTCGTTCTCTCTCAACTGGACAAAAGATTCTGCATTATTTAAATAATTGATCGACTCTTCAAATGTTGCTCTGTCTACCCTGCCAAAAGCCGTGCCCGACGTTATAATGGTGGTACCACGCAACTTATTTACATAAAAAAAAGACTTAGCATCTGCTACAGCACAATTGTATCACTAAAAATGGGTTTTGCATTTCGCCCTGTAATATGGGAATTTTTTCGTTCCATCAGAGCAAAAATTTCGGAACTTTTGTAAGGGCCGCTAGAGGGCTCGGACTTCCGAAAAAAAGCTCGGCCAGCATTACGAAGACGCGATGAATAAATATACAAATGACCTGCTGATTTGATATCATCTCTGCTGATAACTGTAAATATATTTAACACAATTTCAACATATTTGGCGGTTAGTTTGGTATTTGTAGTCTGTATTGACGCCAGGTGCACCCCACATACAAGTTTTTGATCTCGAAGACCTGTGGGCGACAGAGATACATTATGGGCGAGTTCAACTGGTGAGTGTAAAGCAATAGGGAAGCGCTTCGTGCTCATGATTACTGTTTAGAGAAGGTGAGCTTGGTACACCATGGTCAAAAAGATAACAAAAGTGTCACAAAAATATTTTAAAAAATCTACTAGGGGATTATAATAAAGCGACGAGATGCGAACGCCCATTAATAAAACGCTGTTTTAAAATGAGCTGCAGAAGGGATATCAAATGCTGGTTTGCACATTAAACAAAGCGCACATGCAAGCTATTGTAGGCGGAAGTTCACACTGCCAGACAGTGAATTATGTGCACAACGCGCCTGCCAGTGCACAAGGGAATAGATTACGCGTTCAAAAGTGCAGCTTGCTCACGAGTGCATATACGTTCAACTAATTAAACGAAGCACGAGGTGGATCGCCACGTTCATCGTCAAAGCAATCTTTCGCCCATTTAAAAATAATTATATAGAAAACCTAGGAATGTAAAGCACATATGGCGCACCGCAGCATGCTCTGCGTGCAAAGAAAAGACACAATAAACTATCTAAAAACGACAAATGAGGATTATTAGAGGACGGAGTGTCTGCCGTAATGCAAACTAAAATGCAAACCTCCCGCCAGCAGAGTGTTGCATCGTTACATTGGTGGCGGCGCTGGGGCCTAATTACACATGCGACATCTGTCCCGGGCCCGGGCAGGAATTGGAAGTCGCTGGAGCGGAGAAAGCACCATGCTCGGAAACATGTGTCCCAGTGTTGAGGTGAACAACCGGCGATCGCCTCCTCCTCCTTTCCTTTCCAGCCCCGCTCATTAGGTAGTCCTGGGCCTTCTGTTCCCTTCCTTGCTGTCATTGCCGATGCTATTTTCGGTATTGCCGAATTCATATGCTACGTGGCGTTTCGTGCGTGCAGTTACTATGGGTAGGGGTTCCCTGTCGGAGTAGTTTTAAACGCCAATTCGGCGCTCATTGTAGTTTACTTATCTCAAACGCATAATACCCCCCAAAAATCACATTCTTCCGAGTAACGTTTTTCTACGACTCCAAAATTGCATGTTAATTATGGTCGATCTTACACCATTTTAAAAAAAGTGTTCGCACTCCAGTAGCTGCTGGGACAAGTATCCAAGCCTGCATATTTTGGGAGTGCACTTTGAGCATGCATTATGCACGAGTGCTTCGTTAATAGGGACCTTTAGCAAACCATTGCCGTGCTCCGCGTACCGCACTGCCGGAGCCTTTGAAGCATGCTTCAAAGGCTCCGGTAGTGCGGTACGCGTAACTCGGTAACGGTTTGCTAAAAGTCCCTAGTGTTCGACGCGAACCAGTATCTAATCGCACGCTTCGCGCAGAAAGAAGCGCCCAAAATATGGCGACCGTTGTTAGTGTTGCTCGATGAGACTTTTGAAAAATGGTCTATTACGAAAGATGGGCGCTGTCATGGCATCCACTTTTATCAAAGCGCTGGCTTCAACACCTTTTAGACCGCTTAGGGGCTGGCACAATGACGTGCCTAGGCCAGCTTCTGTCAGAACTGAGAAATACAAACTGGCCCATTGCCTTGAGAGGACATTGACCATATACCCGCTTCTGTTAACCATCCTGCTGGGAGAGAGGATTGTCATCTTGGTCTCAAATATCAAAGTTTTTCCTTCTCACATTTTTCTCATTTTATCCAAAATCCTGGAATACTATATGCTACGGATCCATTCAAAGCTTTCATCCTTCTTAAAATGTTATATAATTTCATCGGTTAGGGTTCCGTCAGTAAGAATAATGATGGGAGCGGACTGATGGTACTCTAAGTTTCACTTAAGTGTTTAACGCTACTTAGTTGAAGCACGCAATGGAGAAAACAGAGTTTTGTATGGATTTGTGATTTATAAGCGAGCAAATTAAAGGAGCAGTGCAACGATATTCAATTGGAATGTTTTGCTCTCTACACGAGCTTACTGGCACACCTGGGACTCAAAAATGCTCACACGCAACGCCATTGGCCAAGAAACTCCTTTGTTGCGGTGTAATTTTAAGGACAAAAGCGATCATTTTCATTCAATCTCTCCTTTGCAAAATTTGATGACGTAACTCGGGGATCGCAGTACACCCAAGTGACGATATTTGAATGCGGTTCATAGATTGGATCCGAGCATTGCGTGGGCACTCGACTTGGGCTCGTGATAATTGCTAGCTCGGGAAGCATTTGGCTTGTGACCCGTGTCCAATCGCTGCAACGACGACAACAGCCGAGCCATAACAATGTGTGGAACTCAGCGCGTGTCCTGCGCTTTGCCAACCCCAGCGCGTGGCTATGATCAACACTGGCGGCATATAATCGGCTCCAGATCACGTGGCCGCTTGTTCTAGCTGCGAGTTGAGGGGGTGAACGCTGCTCGTTTTTCTTTAATTTTTTTCTGGGACTACTATTGCGTGGGGTGAAAAACGAACGCGTGTTTCATAGGTCATTAACGTTTGGGATCCGTTTTAAGCGGTATTTGCGCAAAGTACAAAAATTGTTGCATAGCTCCTTTAAGACGGTGTATGAATCAAGCATCCGTTTCTGTCTCGCGTACATCCTCCAGCCCAGCGATGTTTGCAGGTTTCTCTTCTCTGCAGGAGACAGAGTGGCGGATACCAAATTTCCGGTTGTCCCATCTCCGACAAAAAGCCTGAGAACCTCGCCTTGTTTGGCTCGGTGCTGATAAAGGGTGACGCATATGGCAGCGAGAACGCTAATCTGTGTCGGCCGATATGCGACCGTGGAAATGAAGCCGAGAGCCCTTTTTCTCGCGTGTACATACAGTTT